ATATATAAAATATATCATTATCTACTCCTGTTTTTATCTTTTATCCTTTTTTTTTTTTTTCACATTTGGGTTCGCACGAACCCAGGCGCAAACCTAGGCGTTGGGTTCCTGGCGAAGCCAGCGCTTGGGTTCCTGGCGACCCTAGCCTCTAGGTTTTGAGACGAACCTAGGCGTGGGGTTCGTCGTGAACCCAGCTCTTGGGTTCGTCGTGAACCCAGCTCTTGGGTTCGTCTTGGAATCCAGGCGCGGGGTTCGTCACAAACCCAGGCGCTGGGTTCATCCCGGAACCCAAGCGCGGGGTTTGTCGCGAATTTAGCTCCTGGGTTCGTAGATGAGGGATTTTTGGTAAAGATTTTTTGTTTGTTTCTCTTACTGGATGAGGAAAAATTTTCTGTTTTAGGAAGAATTTTTGTTTGTTTCTCTAATTGAATTGGATGAGGAAGAAGATGGTGAAGAATGGGACAGAAATGTGGTGTTTTGAAACATTATATAGTGGTTTTTTTGTAAATAAAATGAAGTGCGAGGATAAAATGAGGATATCATGTCAATTTTATTAATTCAAAACCCGAAAACTGCTGCGGAAGTAAGAAATGAGAGCTTCCGGCCTTTGCAAAGGAAAAGTGAGAAGCTGAGCTTCTCAAAAGTTGACTCATTTGGTGCAGCTTATACTTTTAGAGCCAAAAAACCCTTCCCACAATCTGCACCAAATAGGCTGTAAGTGACTCTAAGTGTAGTTTGACGGCCCAAAAATTGTGAAATCTAAAACAATAATGAAATAGTAGCCCATTGATATTTTTTTTGGCAAAATGGTTTTGGTTAAAAAATAAAAAAAAAATTAGTACTTATCCGTCTTATCTTTTAAAAATTAAAAAAAAATATTATTTTAAAATTATATCATTTTAATAAATATTTATTAAAATATATTAAAATATATTATTTTTAAAGTATAAATTATGATGTTTTTTTGTCTTCTTAATTTTTTAGAGGTAAATCGAAAAGCACAAACCCCAAAATAAAAAGTGCTGTACAGTTTTTTTTTTTTTTATGAACTGCAAAAAGCTTAATTATATATTTTTTTATTTTGAGTACAATAAATACTACAATTCAAAACACATTTGATACAAAATTACATCCCAATTTGTTTCGTACATTCCCCCGGTTCCTGTACCCAGTCCATAAAAGAAATTTTGCAATCTTTAGCTTTTGCTTTAATCCAATGAACCGTTTGTAATTGGATTAGCTCGAATGCTTTCCCATTAACCATTGCCTTCTCATTAAAAATCATGTTGTTCCTGACTAGCCATAATGTCCATATACCTGCTTTCCAAACTACACTCCAACCCAATGCCAACTTCCTGTTATTGAATAGATAAAGTTGCTGCTCATAAGCTTGTATGCAACATTCTGGAAGTAAGCTTTCCACCCCCACCATTTCTAGCACCTAGTCCAAATCTTATGTGCGTGACTGCAATGTAGGAATAAATGATGTGTGTCCTCCGCTACTTTCCCACAAAGTGCACATTTTGTCATACTTAAATCATTCACAATTCCACGTTTAAACAGATTAAAACGAGTGGGTATTCTATCTTGCATTGCTAGCCAATTGAAAGCATTAATCTTACTTGGTACAAATTGGGCTTCAGATGATTGTGAATATGCACCTTCTCACTCGGCTGTGTTGATTTGATGATTGAGTATCCAGATTTCACCGAGTATGTGCCATTACTTGTGTGTTTCCATCTCCAGCTATCTGCCGTTACTTGTGAATAGCCACCATTGCCACTGCCTGTTTGCCCATTCTCCCATTTGATTAATACATTTAGATTTTCCTGTAGACAATAAAAACCATCTAGGAAATAAATTAGTTAAACATCCATTCCCCATCCAATCATCTAGCCAAAATCTAGCTTCTTGCCCATCACCCATTTCTAACTTAAAGCTCTCCTTCAACCAACCATTTTTTTCTTCCGCAATACTATCCAAATCACATATATCTCTCCACCAAATTGACCCCTTCCCTCTACCCTCACACATGTAGTGGAATCCACTATCCCCCCCTCCAGCTATACTTCTCCCTCACCACCTTATTCCACATCCCATTCTCCTTATTAGCTAGTTTCCACCACCACTTTCCAAGTAAGGCTATGTTAAAAGCTCTCAAGTCCTTTATCCCTAGCCCTCCCACGTCCTTTCCTTTACATACCACCTCCCACCTTATCCAATTGACTTTTCTACACTCCTCACCCCCACCCCATAAAAAACCCCTCTGCAATTTATCAAAAAAAAAAAAAAAAAGTTGTATAATTTGAATTGTATAATTTAAATTATTGAATTAGATAAGAGTAATCCTAATTCAATGATTTATATTTTATAATTTGGTTGTGATTTTTGGTTTTTTATTTTGGTTTTCATAATTTTAAACTTCCAGACAAAAAACTCGATTAGTTTAATGTATTTTTACATTATACTATCATGATTCTTAGAAAAATATGAATAAAAATAGTTTTAATATTATTAAATAAGTTTATATTTTATATTGCCAATGTTAAAACTTATTTTAAATAAAATATTAGTTTTAAATTTTTAATTTTAGTTTCCAAATATTGTAAAATTTATGAAAGGCAAAACTGGAAATGAAAATCACAACCATACCGAACAAAATTATTACTAAGGTTTTGGTTATTGAATTTTGCAATCTTTTAAAATATGAGAATGTACTTACAAATAATTCATTCAGAAATGAAATGAATGAAGTGAGGTTTGTAACTCAAATTCAAGTTAACCATATTTAATTTTGTTGAATGCATGGTGCTAACTTGAAGGATCTTGAGAAGTTATTAGTCTTGCATGCCCTGAATTAGACACTGAATGGAGTCTTGAGGTTAGCTACTAGCAAAATTTTCTTGAATGACCTAAATTGACATGGACAATATGGATGAGTGTGGTTATGGCTACCCATAAAAGTGTTGTGTTCACTTACCTTTTCAATATTTGTCTTTAAAATATAGATTTTATTTGATTTAACTATTAAAAATAGTTAATAACAATAGTTATTTATTGATAATTTAGAAAGTAATTGATATTTATTTGTTAACAGCTTAAAATTAGTCAACAAGTTAATATTTAAATATTGTAATTAATTGTAGGAAAAAAAAAAGGATGTATTTGGGTAGCAATGACATATATATTCTGTTTGCCCTTGGGGATAGGGATGGCAATTTCTTCCGCAATCCGCGGAGCTTCGTAGATTTCTCCACCACGGGGATGAAGATTCCAAGAATATTTCTCTTCATGAGACAGGGATGGAAGCATTATTTTTCCCGTGAAGTTTCGTAGGGAATTTCTTCCGCCTTGTGGAAAACCATGGAGGTCCATATAAAATAAAAAAAAAAAATTTATTTATATATACATTTTTAAATATATTAACAATTAATTTCAACTTACTCAACCTAATTAATTGACCAATCCTTTTTTTTATTTTCAATTTTTCCAAACCCAATTATATAGTCCAGTCCAACCAATAATCTTCTTAAACTTAATTGGCCAAGCCCAACCCAATTTGCATTATCTTTTTAAACTTAATTGCCCAAGCCCAACCCAATTTGCTAATAACCCTAGAACTAGAAGGACTATTTCAAATTTCTGAGATTTGCGAATTTGCTCTGTGACTCCTCCTCTCCAGACTCCAGTCTCCTCTCCTCTGCACTGTAGTTCACTGGCTTTGTTTCTGTTCTTCAATCGGTCAATTCCCTTCAACCTATCATTCTCAACAACCTTCGAAAGGCAATGCCCATAGCTTTGTTTCTATTCTTCAATCGACTACTTGCAGCTTGCCTAAGCCTGAGTTGTGAGTATTTGAGTATCTATGCTTGATGATTTATTTTGAGGTGAAGCAGATCTCATTCTTTTGGCCTTATTATTTCCAATTTCATTTTCCCTCTGATTGTTTGCAAGATTGTTAGAATGTGATTTTCGTTGTTTACATGCCTGCATAGCTTCTTTCTCGCATTCACAGCCAACGATAATTGTATTGTTAGTTTGAGGCTCATTCAAGCTCTTAATTCGTTCTATCTTCAGTTAATTTCTCAAACGAGAAATGAATATCAAGTTTTATTTGGTGGGGATTCCAAATACCCGGGAGGACCTATCATTCTCCACGGGTATGGGGGCGGAGGCTATTTTTTATCCTTCGCTTAAAATCCCCGTGGGGATCCCCGTACCCGTCATTGACGGGGATGGGGATGGGGAGGGGGTCCTCGCCTCTGTAGTGGCCCGTTGCTATCCCTACTTGGGGAGGAGTTGTATTTACATGTTTTTATAGACTGCAGGTCCATTCGGATATGGAAAGGGTGCACAGCTACCCCATACTTAAAGATGACTATTGCTTGTACCATTCGGCAATGGGTGATATGCTTCGAGCTGGCACTTGCAGAGGTCAAGGCTAGGCTCTTGTTAGAAAGGGTTTTTTTTTTTTTAGTCTATGCCTAATCTGTGCCTTGAGGGCACAGATTAAAAATCTTAAAAAAATAAAAAAGTAAAATAAAAATTAATATTTAATTTATTAATTATATAATTAAATTTATTTATATAATATTAATACTAAAATTAATATTTATTTTCATTTTTTTCTATATAAATTTATTATAAAAAGGTGATCTTAACTTATACCCTTTAGTACAAATTAGAAAAATCCTAATAGAAATAACAGATGTAGGTATGGGATTTAACACGAGATTTATATTTGATTTAAAATTAATTTATAATAGATAAAATAACTCTCTTTATATTTAAATCACGGGCACAAATTAAGAGTATCAAAAAAAATAAAAAATAACATTTAATTAATAATTATCCAATTAAATTTATCTATAATATTAACACTATAATTAATAATTGTTTTTATATTTTTTATATAAATTTATTAAAAAAAATAATCTTAACCTATATATTTAGAACAATCCTTAAATCACATACATTTTTATTACATACTCAATATGAAAATTTTCAGAGAGTTTTATTTTGGACGGTTTTGCTAGGACTAAAGAGTTTTATTTTGGATGGTTTTGCAAGGATTGTTGTTCAACCACAGAAGGTTTTCATTCTTTCTTACTTCACATGGTATTTCTGTGCATCATCTGCCTGGTTTTTCTGTTTTGTAAATCTACAAAAGCTCAGTCTTTGATACCTTGTCAACTTCTCACCATGTTTTTAAACAGAAAATGCAATTCAGCTATTGCACCTGCAATGTTGCGGCAGATCAGCTCCTGTATTAGAAACATTGACAAATCAACCCCTCTATTATCATATGAAATCCACAAATCCCCTTTTCTGTTAAGGATGACGCTAAAAAATGTCATCTTTCCATTTGATTTTTGTAGTCTATTAAGAAAAGATGATGATTGGACAATGACATGGCATTGGCTTAAAAAAATCACTTGATTTGGGAAAAAAAATATTTTTGAGATTTTTTTTCACTCTTACATATTTAAATATAAGAGTTTTTTTTTTTTTTTTGGTACATAGGAAACTAAATTAAAGTCTAAGGTCTAAGGAACATAGTCCCAATAGTGTCTCCATGCATGAGCATATTGATCCCGACAGGTGGATTTTGGTAAAAAGTGGTGCCCAAGGGAGATTTGTGACCCAAGGAGGCCATAAAATCAGCAGCAGAATTCCCTTCACAAAGTGTATGGCGGACAATACAGTTGCTGAAAGCATCAAGAAGCACAAGAATATCAGTAAGCAAGACAGAGAAAGGACCTTTCTCTACTTGCCGAGTTTGAATAAGTTGGATGGCCATTAATGAGTCCATTTCAAGGATTAGATGTTGCAGTTGTAAAGAGTGGGCAAGCTTTAACCCCTCACGACAGCCCCAAAGCTCAGCTAGAAAACTGGAAGTAAAACCAATGTTAACTGTGAAGCCGTGTACCCAACGACCCAAATGATCGCGGATTAATCCTCCTGCACATGCCTGTCCGGATTGATGATTCCGAGAGCCATTTGTGTTCAATTTCAAAAATGGTTCAGTAGGAGGTTGCCAACAGACCCATCTTGGCGTGCGAGGGGATGCCAAGATAGCTGAGTTTAAGGCAAAGTGAGTTTCCAAGGCATGTGATCTAGCTTGCCAAAACACAACATCGGGAGACGTCCATTTCCACTCAAGTATCAGTGTGTTCCTACTTGTCCATAGAAACCAAAGCATCGATAGAAATAAACTTGCCCAAGTGGTTGAGGTGGTACCCGAAGAGTGAGACTGCACTGAATTTATGAACAACCAATTATCAAAATCCAAGTTAAAGAAATCAGAAGGTAGAAAATCCGATAGCTCCCATACCAATATGGAATAGTAGCAATCTCGTAAAAGATGAATGGGCGTTTCAAGGGCATGCTCACATCGAGGGCACATTGGAGATGGAGCCATATGTCTGTCAAATCTAACAGAATTTGTAAGAACTCTGCCTTTCCTCAATAGCCAAACAAACAGCTTAATTCTTTCAGAACATTTTAGTTTCCAAATCCACGTCCACTGCATTGAGCTCTGTACTTGGTTTATGCGTTGGGATTGAATAATAGAGAAAGCTGAGCTGACAGTGAAGTCACCATTTTTGGAGCCATGCCAGAACATCTCATTAGCAAGCTGATTTGTTGTGGGGAGTGGAATTGCAGCAATAGAATGTAAAATATTTGTAGGGAGAAAATCTACGAGCTGACTAAGGTCCCATTGCTTATCAACCGTGATGAAGTGTGAAACTGGTAAAACAGTCAATTCAGGAGGTAAAGTTGATACTACAGTGTCAATAAGCTTTTGAGGACCAATCCAAAGGTCATGCCAAAAATCAATGCTTGAGCCTGAACCCACACGCCATCTAGCCCCCAAGCGCAAGACATTTCTACATTTTAAAATGCTTCTCCATGTGGCCGAGGATGAAGAGTTTACAGGACAAGTCATAAATGTTGCTCTACGTAGATATTTTTGGGAGAGGGCTTGACACCAAGGTCTGTTTTGTCCTGTAAGGAGTTGCCAACCCAATTTGGCTATTAGTGCTCTGTTATTTTCAGATGCGAGGCATAATCCCAGTCCACCCTAGCTGTGAGGTAAACAAACATCATTCCAGCCAACCAAGTGTGATTTGTTGGAGTTTAAATCTGAACCCCACAAGAATTTACGGTTCAAACTATCAATGGCGGCACATGTGCTTTTAGGTAGTAGAACAGTCTGCATGCTATAAGTAGGAATAGATGAGGTAACAGATTACACTAAAACTCTTCTGCCAGCCAAGCTAAGTAGAGATTGTTTCCAGCCAGCCAATTTGAGCTGAATTTCTCAAGAATGTACTTGTAAGTTGCAGAGGTGGTGCGCTCGTGGATGATAGGTACCCCAAGGTAAACACCCAGCTTGCTAGTTAAAGGGATGCCACAAGTTGAGCTCATACCATTTGCAACATGACTCTGTATATTCGGTGAGATGAATAACTTAGACTTGGCTAGATTGATGTCTAAACCAAACTTGCTGGAGAATTCTAAAAGACAATCCATAACTACAGCAGTTTGAGAATGCGATGCCTCACAGAAAAGCATCAAGTCATCAGCAAAGAACAGATGTGAAAGAGCAAACCCTCATCTAGAGACCTTGAATGGCTTCCATAACCGATTCTGGACTCTACTTAAAATCATATGAGACAATTTCTCCATCACCATTATAAAAAGATAGGGAGAAAGTGGATCACCCTGTCTTAATCCATGTTGAGGTTGGAAGTATGGAAGCTCCTCTCCATTCCACAAGACAGAAAGTTGGAGAGATGTGACAAAGAACATAATCAGCTTGATTAAAGGGGTTGGAAAATTGAAATCAACCAAGACTTCACGAAGAAAATCCCAATCCACACTATCAAAGGCCTTATGTAGGTCAATCTTGAAAGCCATAGCTCCTTTCTTACCCTTCATTCGATGCATAGAGTGGATTGCCTCTTGAGATAAAATTATGTTGTCTGTTGTGCTCCGACCTGCCAAAAAACTATTTTGCAGTGGGCCAATGAGGTTTTGGAGGTGAGGCCACAATCTATTTACAATCACCTTGGAAAGAATCTTATAAGCAACGTTAAGAAGACAAATTGGCCTAAATTTTTGAATGATGTCAGGATTCTCTCCTTTAGGAATGAGAATCATATGTGCCTGAAGCAAGGAGTGTTCAAAGAAACCGTCAGTGAGAGCTTTATTAACAAAGGAGAGTAAAGTACTTGAGACCACATGCCAATGTTTCTGATAAAAGATAGGTTGAATGCCATCAGGCCTAGGACTCTTAAGACCCTTCATGGAAAATAGGGCAGACCTTACTTCATCCAAGGAGATTGGAGCTAGTAGGGATGCACCATTTGCCTCCGAGAGACATGGTTGAAATTTGAAATATGATTGGGGTGCATGCTGAGTATCTCTTTGAGTAAATAAACCCTTGAAGAAGTCATGAACATGTTGCTTAAGAGTTTCAGAGTCATGGATCCATGTTTCATCAATTTTTAGGCAGCAATTCTATTTTGCCCTCTTCGTATAATTGTTGAAGCATGGTAGAACTTGGTGTTCCTATCTCCAGAGGCAATCCAATCTTGTCGAGATTTTTAACACCAAAAAAGTTCCTCAACATGAAGCACCCTATGGTATTCATCAAGGAGTTCAACTTCCAAACTCTGTAAGAAGTGGGAAGTCAAGTAATGCTGAGAATTCTGGATTCCTGCTAATCTGGCTTGTAAATGTCTCTTTCGCTAGAAGAAATCTCTGAAAACATCCTTATTCCAGCGAGTACAAACTTCCCTAACAGATGAGATTGCATTTGACAGAGAATAAGCATGAGCTAACCGAGCATCTGAAAAAATAGCCCCAAAATTCTCATGAGTTAACCAAGTTGCCTCAAACCGCAAAGGTTTAAAACTCTTGGTAAGAGAATGTAACATATCAAAGCATAACATAATGGGATGGTGGTCACTGCAAAGTCGAGGGAGATTCAGGAGCTTTGCTTCAGGGAAAGCCTCCAAAGCAACAAAGTTGAAAAGAGCACAATCAAGTTTCTCTCACAACGTAACTCGGCCATTTGTTTTCCTTATCCAGGTAAAAGCACACCCAAGTGAATCCTTAGAATGTAAACCACAATCATTAAGGCGATCTCGAAATCTCTGAGCTCGAGAAAAACTCCCAATAGCTTTTGGAGAGGCTTCATCAACTGAAGCAATGTCATTTGAATCACCCATAACTATCCAATTCCCAATGATGCCAGAAGCTAGCGTAGTAAGATTATCCCAAAAAAGATTCTTCAATTCACCATGAGGTTGAACGTAGGCAAAGGTTATGGTAAAAGAGACATGCTGATTAGTGAGGGAGCAATGGATGAATTGATTATTAGTGAGTAGCACTTCTAAACAGACAGAAGAAGATTTCCAAAACAACCAAAGACCACCAGCTCGACCCTGAGAGTTAACTTTGGATTGTTTGTCGAAACCAAACCGTTGCATGAATCCAAGGGTAGTAACATTTGCATCAGCTTTTGTTTTTAAAAGACAGATAACATCAGGCTTATGCATTTTTAATAATTCCTTGCATTCTCTTCTAAAGGGGCCATGTTGTACCCCTCGACTATTCCAAGTCACGATCTTCATGAGGAAGATTTTTCAATTTTGATGGCCAGTATGTTCATAACAGCCGTGGGGGGAGAAGATACTGCCATAATCAGAGAAGGCTCAGATATAGCCAAAGGAGACTCTGTTGAGCATGTGGCAGTGGCTAAAGGACCCATACCAGAGGAACCTAGAAAGGGGAGTGGTAATTGGGGGGAAGAAGAATGTGCCATTGATACAGGAAGGATCACTGGGCTCAAGTAGGATTTAGGCGGGGGATGTCTTGGAGGTTGGCTGGAAGGAAGCTCTAATTCTATGATGTCGATGGATTTTTTAACCACTGGGGGTGGGTCATAAGGTTTTGGGTGTGGGTTTTTCATCACTTTAGAGACTAGACCTAGAGGCTTAGTATTTTTTTTGACATGCTTGGGTTTGGGCTTAATAAATGAGGTGCTAGGCGTTGGGGGAGGAATAGAGGCAACTGGGCCATGTTGACCGGCATGAGCCTGAGCTTGAGCATTTTCATGAGTTATTGAACTCGATGATGGGATGATGTTCATGAGAGATATAGACCCAGTCAATGCCTTTTCATGTGGAGAAGATCTCGCCACGTCAACCTCCTTTCCCTTTTTGGACGCTTGTAAATTCAAATCTTCATCCATAATATCCGCGATAGCCTCACATCTGTTAGCAGTTGGTTTAGGAGGAATTGCATATTTGGCGTGCCTATCGAACACCATAGGTTGCACCTGGATTAAATAGGGCAGAGTAGAATTCTCCGTGACCAACGGCTGTGAAGTAGGAGCATCTTTAGATTGTGGCTCCGACTGCCAGTGTTGTGGAGGGCGTCGTCGTTGTTTCCGCTGCTGAACCATCCAAGGGCCATAAACCATGTTGTTATCAACATAGTCAGGTTTTAGAGCCTAAGACAATTCAACCATAGCTTTGGCATTAGGATTACCCATTGGAGGAGATTTCTTTGGATTTTTTAAGCAGCAATATTCCATTTTGTGACCAAACTCGCCACAATGAAAACAAATTTTATGTAAACCCTCGTACTCAACTAGGATAAGAGATTGAGGCAGATCCTCAAGATCTAAGTCAACAGAGGACGGCAATGGTTGGCTCAAGTCAACTTCAACACAGACACGGGCAAACTGTCCCCTCGTTGCTAAGAGCGTAGTCGGATCAACCTTAATCGGCTTTCCAATTTGCTAGCAAGGTACATACAGATAGCTTCATAATAGCAAAGAATAGGAACACCAAATAACTTTATCCATACTGTTGTTTTTGGCGCTTTTGCTTGCGCTGGATGGAACCCAAGCTCCCATGGCTGGACAACAAGGTAGTGATCAAACATTTTGTATGGACCACCAGTTAACACCTTATAACAATCTTGAGGCGAAGAAAGCTTAACGATGTAATAGCCTAAACCAACATCAATAACTTCAAACTCATTTTCCGTTCTCCATTCCTTAAGTAGTCTGGCATGCAACACATGATAGTTGATGGATTTCCCTAGAAGCTTGATGATAACTGCATTTGTCCAGGGGGCACAAAGGCGTTGCCAGATCTCCTTGGGTATTCTCACCTTAGGAACTTTCACTTGGGTGGGGTTAGAGCCATCTTCTAACATTGGTGAGGACGAATCAAAGGCTTTGTTTGCTGCAACTAATTCCTCATAAGTAACCAGCGGCGGCGTAACAAAGGCACTGCCCTCAACCAAGGTATCTTTGAAGGACTTTGTTCCTGGAGGAAATCTTTCATTAGGAGAGACGGGCATAGGAGGGAAAGTGGGAGGTGTTGGCCCTACTGGAGGGGGAAGGAGTGCCAGGATGTCAGGGGGCGGTGGCGTAGGAGGAGGGGGGATGGCGGCAAGCACCGCCGGTGGGGGTTCGAGGGAGAGTGAATCCATTTCTTGGGGGTGTTGGGCTAATGCATTCCTTAATAATTAATCCATTTTTAAGAGTTTTTTAGAACACATGTTAAGTCTCGTTTATTATATTATTTGTAATTAATTTTATATAAAATTTAAATGAAATATAATATAATATATAAAAATATAATATAATATTTTACCTTAAAATCTATAAAAAATAATGAATTTGATATAAAAATTTATGTAAAATTAATTAAAAATACCCTAATTAATGAGAAAGGCACATGGATGTTAATTTTTCTTTTGATTTTTTTGTTTTTTATTTTATATTTTTAAAAGTTTGTGTAACTTGTGTTCAAACCTTAAACATATAAAACAAAAAACAGAAAAATTAAAAGAAAAATTTATGTCTATGTGCCCTTTTCATTAATTAGGGTATCTTTAATTAATTTTACATAAATTTTTATATTAAATTCTTTACTTTTTATAGATTTTAAGGTAAAATATTATATTATATTATATTATATTTAAATCTTATATAAAATTTTATATAAAATTAATTATAAATTTACAATAAATAAGATTTAACATATACACTTAAAGTAGATATTAGAAAACTCTTATATTTAAATACGTAAAAATAAAAAAAAAATCTAAAAATATTTTTTTTCCCAAGTTAGGTATTTTTTTTTTAGTCAGTGCCATGTCATTACCCAATCATTATCTTTTGTTATCGGACCCCAAAAATCAAACAGGAAGATGACATATTATAATATCATCCTTAACAGAATGGATGATTTACGAATTTCATGTAGTAAAAGAGTTGATTTGTTAATATTTTTAATACAGATGCTGATCTGTTACAATATTACAGGTACATGAGCTGAATTGCACCTTCTGCTCATGTTTTTCTGTGGCTATACGGATGAGAAGCTCGAGAAGCAGGGAACAAAAATTTATAAAGTACTGAACTTTGCAATTGATGACTCCACATTGGGGCGGAGAAACACCATTCCAGCGGTCGAACTTACCGCACTAAATTTGCCCCTCCCAAGGTTCATGGTGTTAATGATTAGGGTGTCAGTAAATTCTGGAAAATTCTTTGGCTTTATCTTTTCAATTGTAATGATGAACCAGACTGAGTGGACCACTAAGCTTGTTGCTTTTTTTGAAATTAGGCAATGGAGTACCATCAATAAAAATTATTTTTAAATTCTTAAATTTATTTTAAAATAAAATTTAGGTTTTTAATTAAAAATAAAATAATTAAAATTTTTAATCAACTGATGGTTGTATGCATTAATGATATCGTATTGTCTCTTCTGTCACATGTTCTCTTGTTTTTTTAAAACATGCTTCTTTCTTGTGCCATTGCTTAAATTTCTTACATGGGGTCCATTTAATTAAAATGATGTGACGGGTATATTAGGAATGATGTGACAGGCAAAACCAATAACATGATTTCTTTTTATTGTTGGGTTAAATAATAGCACGAGCTGACAAATTCTGAAAATAAATACTTATCTCATCACATCAATCAATCGTCAACGAGATCAATTGTTGAATCTCTGTGTTTCTGTTCTTATATAACCATTTTTTAGTTTTATTTGATAATATTTTTTTGATATTTGATATTTTTATTTTTATTTTTTTATTATTTTAAAAATATAAAAAATATTAATTAAAATAAATATTAAATATATAAATTATATTTTATTTTTTTAAATATTAAAAAATAAAAAAATTTACAATTATAACTACAAATTAACTTTGTTAAAGTAAGATTTAATACTCAAAGAGTTGTCGCTTAGTCTCTATGCTTTTAGCTTTGTTTGCATTCACAAATTTTTAGCTTTAAAGCTTTGTTTGCACTCATTTTTAGCTTCAGTCTCCATGTTCTTCTAGCAGGAAAGATGTAACATAAAGTTTTCTTCTGCAGTACCAAAATATTGCTTTTCAAAAAACTACTGGCTACAGATTTTATAATCAATTCGATACCTTTGACATGCAGGTTATCATCTACCATGTTAAGAAAGGTATTCTTGCCCAACTTCATGCTGAGAAACACCCTAAAGAGGTCACTGCTGAGGTTCAGAAGTCTATCTCTTCGTAGGAGCGTGGA